AAACCCCCCAGGGGAGCAGAAGTGTGAGGCTGGGCTGCCCCATCGGCTCCTCCTGCTATTTTCACCTGCTCAGCACATTTCTCAGAGGCAGCCAAGCTTTTCTAGTTGCTGGAGGGTTTTGCTAGAGTATGGAAGGAGCCTCCTCTGCACCCCACCCCTTTCATCCTTCTCATTTCCAGAAGAACAAATATCCCTGTGCCTGTGTTGGTTTAATGAAGGCACAGGTGAGCAAGCCTGAACAGTGGAGGTTATGGCAAACTTTTGGTTTCACACAGCAGGGGAGAATCCCTTGCAAGTATTGCAAGACACTATTTTAAAATTTGTACGTCAATTTTCAGCCATCTGCTGTGTGTTCCTTGGTATACTACACTCCAGCCTGGTGCAGTGCTTGGAAAAGACCCTTGGTTAATGTCTAGCAGCATGCTTTTCCCAAAGCACCTTAGAAAATCATTTTGCTCTGTGCTGTTCAAATTACCTGTGTCACTCATGGTGTTACAGCCAGAACAGAAGCCTCACCAACCTTTACTCCAACAGGCCTGGTGGCCCCAGATATTTTCTTGGATATTCAGCTGTTTTTCTTCATTTCTCCCCTATACTGGATCAATATTTATCTCAGGAAGTGCCATGTTAAAATCAACCTAAGAGGTCAACCGTTTTTTTTTTTTTTTTTTGCACACCTATTTTGTACTATAAAAGCAGTTTACAATGCCATCCATCCATGGAGTATACATAAGAGATGTGTGGCAAGAGAGTTCTATGATAGCATTTATCTATTCCATCCATAATCCAAGTGTTGCATGTATATTACAAGATGATGGTGATTGAAAAGAGGATGCAGGGGTAGAGAGGACAACATTATTATAACTAAGAGTTCTCATCCAATGAGGAAATATTGGGTTACTTTGTCTTCTTACTTGCTACTGTGTTAACTACTGATTACAACATAAACTCAGGAGATGTTTCCAGACATGTGACTCAGAAATATTCTTCCTAACAGCAATATATCTATAACTGTGTGTATTCCCATAGATAATATCACAGAGTACCTAGTAAATATTCAAGGGATGCACTCCTACTTTCTTTAGTTTGTATTATTTCAGGAGAAATACATGTTACTTCAGTGAAAAATAGATGCAATATTAAAATTAAAAATTTAATATTTAAAAGTGCAAAAACTTATACAATTGCAGATAAAAGTATAATTGCCTTGAAACATAAAACTTCCTGGTAAATAAAACAAATGATACTGATCTACTTGTCTAATTAATGAACGAAACTTTACATTTCTTAAAGAACCAGCATTTAAAAATACTAAAAATAAGGGATAAACCTTAATAATATGTTACCATATTCTATTAGATCACAAATGTCTGTAGCAAAGTACTTGCTACTATGAAAGTTTCCCTTTGGTTGTGAACTTTATGGATTATCATCTCCTTATTCTTTTTGGACACCATCAATCCTCCTGGAAGATTTCAGGACCTAGTTATTGTCTGTGATACTGTGAGCAACCCCTGCCATAACCGAGTCAGCAATGTACCAATAAAAAATTTTCCAACAAATCCATGTCTCATAAAGGCAATATTATATTATAGTATTATTCTTGAAGTTCATTGTTTTTCAATGAAAAATAAAAGTAATGGTTGTCTGAGATATATTAAACTATCAGACATAAATCTGCTGACATTGGTGGGCCTTGAGGAAAAGAAATGTTGGTGGAAGCAGAAGTGTCACTCAGCTCCAACGCTAGCTGCGATCCCTTCCTCACAGGCTGTGTAGAGACTGGGAAAGGAGAGATAGTGAGTGACTTTCAGAGCCCAGTACTCCTGGAACCTTCTTACATCTCAGCTGCCACAGTTGCAGCCATTCAACAACCGCTGAGTGTGTAAGCAGGGGAGCTGCTGGGTTCTCACAGGTTGCTCTGGAAGGGGCTCTGGGATAGGAAGGATGGGCTGGCCTTATAGATCTATACCAGGACTCTTTAGGTTACCAACATTTCCTGCAGTGTCTTCAGGGGCTCATGGTCTCTGTCAAAAATACAGGTGACACATGTCAGGTTCACTGTCCTATGTCCATTATCTTTGTAGAACTCTAGGTGAACCTTTTGTATTTTGTTCTTTGTAGTGGAATGATTTATTAAGATGAATTACTTGAATTTTCTGTAGTGTTGTCTACTATTTGATAGAATAGGATCAGCTTCATAAATGAGTTTGAAAAGATTCAATCAAGCCCTTAGGTCACCAAAATAAATAGGTTGCTGTGTTAAAGATCCTCCAGCAGATGGCGAACAACCCCACAATAAACAGGCACTGAGGTACCTAGAAACACACCAGGACTGTAGAAGTGATGCTTTCCTATAAGGGTACAGTTAAGGCAGGGAGCTCTCTGCCCAGCTCGCTAAGCTCTCTTGGATCAGGGTCCTTTGTGCACAGTGGGCCATGTCTTCCCCATCTACCAGTTCCTTTTTATCTCTTGCTTTGCTTTGTGACTGGTGATGCACCTGATCGCAATGAATTTCCCAGACCACTGGATCAGCAGTGAAGCAGGATGGTGAGAGAGCAGAGGCCAGACTCTGAGTGTTGCAAGTATTGAGTGAAATAAGAGTGAAGTAGCCTGATGAATTCAGAGGTGAAGGTGACAGATCCCACAGAACTCAATACAGTACAGAGATGCAGAGGAGCAGCACCAGAGGAGTCACTTAGAGGATGGGAATGAGGGCTGGGAGAGCGGTAGTGATTGAAGCCCTATTTTCCCAAAGTTCTCCTGAGTCCTCATCAATGGCCGCAGGTCACTTCTTGGTCCATCATGGCTGAGGGTGACCCATGAGATTCAAGTTGTTCAGAATTTGTTGTGGGACAAGATTGTGAGGTAATGTGCTAACTCTGGTCACTCCATTTTCAATTTGCCAGCATTTAAAATAATGTCATGCAAGCAGCTGAATCCATTATTTATTACTACATTAAATTCATAGATGATGTCTTACAAGCACAGAATGAATAAGCAACTTACATATTTATTTATTTGTGTAACCAAGCTTTTCATCTTTGTAAGCAAAGGAAAGCTGAGTGAGTTCAATTCATATCAGGGGCATTCACTCATCCTCTTTTTAGCTTTTTCCCCTTAGGAGCATTGAGCACAGCTCTGAGCACCTTCATCTCCAAGAGCCAGGTCAGCTCTGTGGTCCTGGTTTCTCCCATTCTTGCTCCATCTGAGTATTTTAGCTGCTCAGCATGTAGAGTGTTGAATACTTTCCTTCTTTGAACCTCCTGCAAGGCTGCAGGATGGACAGGGTCTCAGGTTCAGCCCCATTAGTCAGTGGATCAGCTGCTTCCTCCACGGTCTGTAGCTAGAACTCAGAAGCTCTCAGCGGTATGATCCTGACTCAGCTTGAGTTCAGGTCCCTGCTCCTGCTCTCTCTGATCCACTGCAGTGCTAGAAAATCTAGTAAAACCTTAAGCTCACTGCCCACATGTCCTCAGATTCCAAAACCATCCCAGCACCTTAATAAGGAGGAATGTTTTTCTTGTTATCCTAGAGTCCTGCTAGTTCTTAATATAGCAGATAAATGTGTTGTTCAGATCGTACATCCCTATCCAACATAAGTTAGAAGGAAATGGTTATTGTTTTTTAAAGAGCTTATTAAAAATCTAACACATTCATGGCAGTCATCTCTGTTTTCTTCAGTTTATTCAGTAGCAGCTCTTCCCTGCTGTGCATGGCAAACACAGAAGAGACTATGCAACCTAGGCACCGTTAGAGAATCTGAGCCTCATGGGACCATTTTAGTACTGACATAAGAGGAGTGAAGAAGGTGGTGAGGTGCTGAAAAAAAGTGTCATACACATGAAATGGAAGGGTGAGGTCAAATCTTTGGCTGGATTTCTTCTAGCAATGATTTTGAGATGACTTAAAGCTTAGAGACATTGCAGCCCTCTATAGATCAGGATCCCTTAGTTGGACTATTTCAAAAACTCCATGTACTGAGAATATCAACGCAACAGCAAAGAAGTTGGCTTCCCTGCTGGTGTCCCATTCCCACGTACAACACAAGACTATGTATATGGTTTTAAGTATATTCTGTTTCTCACATTGCTTCTGAAATGAGTCTAAAATATCCTGCCAAGAAAATCAAGATCAAATAACTTAATAGACTTCAGAACTGTCTTTGGTGGAACACAGGAAGAAACATGTGCTCTTTGTGTGGGCTTGGGGGAAGCCTGGGGCTGTACAACATGTCCTCACTTTCCATCTTAGTTATGCTGTGAGAGTGAGTACAGGAACCCAGACAAGTTCACAGAGTTCACAAATTCTACTCTCTTCCTGTTTTTTTTTTTTTAAATTTTATTTAAAAGTAAAAAGAGATAAAGCAAATCAAAACAAAGCGGTGTAAAGGTACAAGTAATACAGAACTACAAAAAAAAATCAGTAAGAAATCACCAGTTAATAGATTACATATTATCATCTTAGAGATACTTGCTCAAGTCACAGTATCAAAGCATACAAAGTGGACATTCAAACAGTGAGACTGCAAACAGTTGTGTTCAATGATCCAACATAAAACATTAATATGGGCAACTATTCAACACCCCTAAACACACTTGCTGTTGTATCCTTTAGAGCATTTTCAAGCTTGAATAAACCCATATGTTTCCCTTCATTCTTCCTTTTCAAAGGGATCATAACATAGGTCTGTGGTCCTCAAGTAAAGAGTGATCTGAAAGGTGAGTACAACAGTTCACTAATGGGAGAGCAGCCTGATTGTGTCCTGTAGCTCAAGGCAGAAAACATGTGGTCAGCAGGCAAATTTGTGCTGCTCTGGTGTGGACAAGAACCTTAAGGGACAGTGAGCTTGTGCTGAGATGGGCCAGTCCTGCAGCTGGGCAAAATCCCTTCCACCTATGCTGATTTGCATATCCCAAGAGCCCAGCCAGTTACTTGAGGACTTCTTAATATGCTGCTTATCTCACCCTGTGTAGGTTCATTCCCAGTCAGGAATCAGCATGGACAAGAGGGTGCCCACTCACTTTCTGGGCCTCTTGCTGCTCTGGGTCCCAGGTAAGGAAGTACAGTGTCAGGAATTTACTCAGCACCTTATGGTCAGAGTTGCCTGATATTTCAGGAAGGTTCTCTTTTATCTTGAAAACTTATGCTGATATTTGTTATGTTTCCAACCTCAGGTGCCAGATGTGACATCCAGTTGACACAGCCTCCTTCTGCATCTGCATCTGTGGGAGACACCGTCAAGATCAGTTGCCAGGCCAGTCAGAGTGCTAGCAGTTACTTAAACTGGTATCAGCAGAAACCAGGGCAAGCTCCTAAATGCCTGATCTATGGTGCCACCAATTTGGAGTCTGGAGTCTCAACTAGGTTCAGTGGCAGTGGATCTGGGACAGATTTCACTCTCACCATTAGCAGCCTGCGGCCGGAAGATTTTGCAGTTTATTACTGTGAGTAGCACCAGAGTTGGCCTCCCACTGTGATATAAGCCATGACATAAACCTCCCTGAGTGGCACAAGTGTGAGACTGGGCTGTCCAGCTGCTCCTCTTTGTGTCTGCAGTTTCAGAGCAAGTTTTTCAGATGCATCCAGGCATTGAAGGTAACTGGAAGACGTGTCCAAGGAAATTCCTCTCTACCCTAGCTTTCTTTTCTCTTTCTTGACCCTGATTTAATGAAGCACACCAATTAATACACTAGAGTATTTGGATTAGGGTATCATCTTGTAATCACATGGCAACCGACAAGCTCTTCAGTAGTTTACAAGCCTTAATTTTTAATGCTTTTCATCAGTTTTAGAGCCTTATATTCATAGCAAAATACAAATTACAGAGGTATCTATGATACAGCTGCCCCTACATCTAGGTATATCGAAACCATAAATGGTAATTCTGTTGCAATCTATCAGACTTAGTTTAAACTCAAAATCCACAGTCCACATGAGGGTTGACCCTTGATTTGGATTATCTCAACAGAAAACACAGACATTAGGATATATGTTCAAAATTTTGATATGACACAGTGTTTTTCATTGCACTAAATACCACTGTCTTCTGCTTGTACATTGTTTTATTTCTCAATTTGTGTAAGACAATCATGTTTTCCCATGCCCATACTATTTCCTTTTCTCGAAAGATTAAATCTTGGATTAAAGTATGGAAGATTTTCAAAGTCTAACCTAGAAATACACTGCTATGGAACACATATAAAAATAATAATACATTTTGCTACCACTAAGACTCCTATTATAGCATCCAATATTTTTATTCTAGTGATTTTTGGTACTGTCTTCAGGGATTTATCTAAAATTTATTGTTGGAAGCATGTGAAGCTATCCGTTCTTTCTTTCCATTTGTGAATTTTATTATTTTTCTTGGCTTATTGTATTTCCTAGTATCTTCAACATAACTTTGAATAAAAGTAAATAAAATGGACATTCCTACGTATTCATTCTGAAGGATAAAATACTTAGTATTGCATTGCTGAATATGATGTTTTTAGAGACTTCATTAGGGTGTAAACAAAGTTTTCTAGGTTGTTAAAGTGAAAGAGCCAGGGATTGGGTTTATTGATGTGTGTGTAATAGAATGATGTACAAAATCACTCAAGGAGTAGAAATGGCTTGCAAAGAAAGTTCTGTTTCTGATTTCAGTGAAATCATATCAGTGTGCTAAAGAAAGGCTGATCCAGGGCTGCTGATCTGTGAAGTTGTGCTTGTCAGCTGACCTACACTGCTGAGCCTAAATCTCTTTGGCCCTTTCTGGATTTTTACAAGAGTAAGGCTGCATTAGGGACCTTTTGGAAAGATTGCAAATGTGCAAAGTAAAAGAATGTCTTCAAGACAATTTTCACACAAAATCTTATTTCAACCAGACATATGCACCTAGAGAGGAATGAGACATGTTAGAGCTTAGAGAAACTCTGTCCCTGTAGGTTTTGATTTTGTTCTTAATAGGTTTGTATTGAAGGCCATCTGGCTGATTCTAGAGGTTTGATAAGACAGGAAGACATCAGGACCAAGTTTTGTGATCACAAGGAGAAATGTTATTCTGTAGCTCTGCCTAAGGGCCTTCGTCCTGACCACCTGGGCATGACTTGCTCAAGTGAGGAAAAGAAAAGCCCAGTGTTTCTGCAGCTGCAAGCTCAGCCCATCTCACTCCTGCTGCTGTCCATGCTCCTCCCACACCCCCTGCTATTCAGAGCCCATATTATTGCCTGAGCCAGAGTCCTGGGGAGACCTGCACCAGGAAGAACCTAGCATGCACCATGGAAGCCCTGGCTGGATTCCTTTGTCCCTTGTTACTCTGGGTGCCAGGTTAGGGCTACATGGAATATTTTTGCATATCTATGAAAATTCTCAGCCTTGGATCCTATGCACAGTACTATATTCTCTATTCAATAAGAACTGTATTTAAAGTTCAATGTAGAATAATGAGTTTAGCTCTATTGAGAACACAATTGGTATGACTTAGATTACATGGGTGACATTTCTATTTTATTTTTCACTCTCATATTCAACTGGATAAAACTTTTTACCCCGTCTCAGCCTCCCTGGCCCCGTCTCCAAGAGAAGCATCCACTCTCAGCTGAAGAGCCCTTGAGAGTTTAGCAGCTCCCTAGCTTGGTAGCAGCAGAAACCTGGGCTCCCTGGCTCCTCACCTATGCTGCCACCAGCAGGGCCACTGGTGTCCTATCCTGGTTAAGTGGCAGTGGCTCAGGGACAGATTCTGTTTTCACCATCAGCAGCCTGCAGCCTGAGGATATTGCAGTTTATGACTGTTAACAGTATTAGAGGTGGTGTCCCACAGGGATCTATTTTGAAGCAGAAAGCTCCCCAAGTCTATTGTCGCTATTTTGGTCATAGCAGCTGCTTCCTTTAAGGACAGATGCTGTACTTCCTGCTCAGCTTAAATGTCTCTGCCTCCATGTGACTATCTTGTGATTTTGAAAAGTAACTCGCTGATAAGAAGTTGAGTGATTCCTAGATTCGTTCTCAGACTCAGCTGCACAGGCATGTTTAGGAATAGTTTCCCTGATAATGACATCAGATAAGATTCACATCAGTAGATACCTATAAAGATGTACATTTTCTGTGCTGTAAAATGCAACACAATAGTCAATAACAAGTCTTGTTCTTATCCATGTGGATTAACTCATGCTTTAGCTTTCTGAACAGAAATAAGTTCTCAAATTCTTTTTACTGATATTAAATTGATTCCTTCTAGCGGCAGTTCTCACTGATATTACAGTAAATGTTAGCTTATAAAAATAAGGTGCATTTGAATATTTTTCTTATGATTCGTTAGCATTTTGGCTGAGATTCAATTATATATATATATATATATATATATATATATATATATATATATATGATATGATGTATTACATATATCTATGCCAGCACAACTGCTGGATCTCTTCTCACAGTTTCACTCAGTACATATGTGAGTCCCATTTTCTTTCTTTTTTTAAATTTTATTTAAGAGGAAAAAGAGAAAAACACAAAACAAAACAAAGCGGTGTAAGGGTACACGTAATACAGAACTACAAAAAAAAAAAAACATAACAGTAAGAAATCACCTGTTAATAGGTTACATATTATCATCTTGAAAATAGTTGCTCAAATCACAGTATCAAAGAATACAAAGTGGACATTCAAACAGGGAGACTGCAAATAGCTGTGTTCAATGATCCAAAAACATTGATATAATCAGCTATTTAACACCCCTAAACACACTTGCTGTTATATCCGTTAGAGCTCTTTTTTTCCCTCTCTTTTTTACAACAAAATTTACACATTTTGGATTTTATTACTCCTGAGTGCTTATTACTTTTTTTTTTGGGGGGGGAATACAATCAAATATGGCAAAACAAAGCTGTCAGTCAAAACCAAGGATAGACATAGCACATGGTGTAGAACAGAGTACAAGGTTATCAACAGTGGTTATCAACGTTGTCTCTTGTTTCCTTAAAAAGAATTGTCTATCTCATTAGATATTATAAAGTTGGACAAAACAGTAGAGAACAAGACCAATAAAACTTAGGCATTGTAAACATTGCAGGACTTCCAAAGGAGACAATAGTCAAACCAGAATGGGTATCTTAGTGAAACTTATTGCCTTCAAAGTAGTTGCCTATACCCTCAAACTTGATACTATCATACAGAATGGAGCACAGTCTAATCAGTCAAAACAAGATCGTAGGAGTATTACAGGACTTCAAAACAAGTTAATAGGAAATCAAAAAGAGTTACTATTATATATCCTAATTTTTAAAACTTTTCCCCTTAATTAAAACAAACATAAGAAATAACTAAATATTTTTTAAAGAATAAGGGGGAGATTGAGATAAAACAGGACATAACAATATAACAATAGAGGTCAAAGCATGACTGTTTCAGCAACCTAGTACTTCACCACCATATAACCCGACTTAATAATAGTTACCATAGTGTCTGTCTTTTTCCTTGAAATATTTGGATAAAACTTCATATACTATACCTTCAAATGTTTCCATATCAAGAAGCCCAGAATAAAGCCTTTCTAATTAATGAGTGAAAACTTTATAAGGCTTCAAGGCCACATAATGGGGAATCATGATTATCACATATTTTTATATATTTGAATCATTACTTACAATTGTGCTGCTATAAACATAGGTGCACATATATCACTGTGATATGATGCTTTCAGTTCTTCTGGGAATATACCTATAAGTGGAATAGCTGGAATAAATGGGATTTCCAATCCCAACTTTTTGAGAAATCTCCAGACAGATCTCCACAAAGGCTGTACCAGTATACACTCCCACCAGCAGTGCAGGAGAGTTCCTTTTTCCCCTCAGCCTCTCCAGCATTTGTTGTTGGTTTTCTTGATCCTGGCCATTCTTTCAGGAGTGAGATGGTATCTGAGTGTGGTTTTAATTTGCATTTCTCTAATGACCAATGATGATGAGTATTTATTTTCCATTTGCATTTCTTCATCTGAGAATTGCATATTCATCTCAGATGCCCATTTTTGGATTGGATCTTTGAATTTTGGAGGTCTGAGTTTTTTTTTTTTTAATTCTTTACGTGTTTTAGACAAGAGTCCCTTATCTGAGAGAGAGTTCACTAAAATTTTTTTCCCAGTTTGTGGGTTTTCTTTTCACTATGCTGGAGATTTCTTTTGACATGCAGAAACTTTTTAATAAATTGTGGTCCCAGTTATTAATTCTGGGAAGTATTTCCCGTGCAGTTTCAGTCCGGTTCATGAATTCTTTACCTACTCCTATGTCTCCAAGTGTTCTACCTAATTTGTCTTCCAATAGATTTAGTGTTTCTGTTTTAATATTCAGATCTTTGAGCCATTTAGATTTTAATTTAGTACATGGTGATAGACATGGGTTTAGCTTTAGTTTTCGGCAAATGGAGAGCAGTTTTTCCAGCACCATTTATTGAAGAGACTGTCGTTCTTCCACTGAATCTGCTTGGCTCCTTTATCAAAGATAAGGTGGTTGAGTGTGTTTGTAGTTGTGGTTGTATCTTCTAATCTATTCCATTGATCTTCGGTTCTGTTTTGATT